AATGAGAATAATAGGCTGAGAAACACAGAGCTACACCTCACTCAAGTCATCATCCCATTGTGATGGTCTTTGTTGGGATGAAGACCCTGTTACAAATCTTGATCTAATGCAATAAGAAGTCTAGTGAAAAAACAAATCTGGATTTGTCAGCCTTGCATGGCTGTGAAAACAATTCTTCCCAATCCCTTGCCAGTACAAAAGCAAGCCCTATATATGGTTATTCTATATGTTTTAAAACTGCAAAGCAGGGAAAGTCAGTATCCTTTAAAATAATCTGCTCTATACCCAAGTGTTCTAATAACAGAAAAAGCTTAATAGATGCATTAAGAGTGACTTAAAAGAAAAAAAAGATTGGGTTCACTTTCCCAATTTTCCATTGGGAAAATTCCAGTTTTAGTTTCACGGGCACTGACCTCTATGTGCCAGTTATGGGATATGTAAATGGCACCTCCCTGAACATCTCTAGTACCTAGAAAGACAGCAAGATTGCATGTATGCAGGGTGACAGAGGCATCTGAGCCTAATGTATAGAAATGATACTCTCCAGGGTATATTTTAGTTACAATAAAAGAAGGAACTAAACCTTAGGTTTAAAGGACCAAGATAAGATATACAAACATTATGTGTGATACTTATTGCATTATCTCAGTCAGTCCTTGCAACTATCTCAGGAAAATAGCTGCTAACCTCACATCTGCCCCTTGAATTTTGCTGGAACACCTGGCTTTTCTTTGCAATGGATACAATGGTGGTAAAATCCTTCCTTGACAAGTGGGGCAGCATAAAGGGCAGCTGTGTCTTCACGTGTACTTAACCTGTAATAGAGGCAGACATGTAGCATCGCCTGTTTACTGTTTCTTCAAAGACCCATCTAAAAGTGATCATTTCTCATTCCACAATCAGCCTCTTGCCTTCTCTGTCCCCGCCCTTGTAATTCTCCACAGGGTTCCATGTTTTCTTGACTCTGCTTTCACACAATTTCTTCACTTACTTAAACACTGTTCTCCTCGACCTCACCTACGTCAGGTACATGGTGGGGGGTGGGGAGGTCCTTCTGCCACTGCCAATTTTCATCTATATTTGCAGGGCAATCCTATACATGCTCCATTGAATTCAATGGGTCTTACTTCCAGCATAAACTTTACTGCCTTTGCTCTTTTTACTTTCTACCACTTCCATCCAGTCCAGTCCAAAGGATACCAAGTTCAAACTACAGCTCCATGCCTCCTCTATCCATGAGAAGTACAGGAAGTCATATAAACCTTCCTGCCCTAGATGGCAGCACAGGAAGAGCTGAATATGCATGGCAAGCCAGGAGAATACTTATGGAAAGCCAAGGGAAGCCAGGAAGAAGTGGGAGCAGGGTTTGGCAAGATCTCACAGGGAGAGGAGTCTCTTACACAATTCACCTGCTATCTGTGCACTTCAACGGGACTGCACAGAATGAAATCGTTCAATTATTAAACGTGCAGGCAGAATTATCAAGCACTCAAAGGTCCAGGCCCAGAGAGACCTCATAGCCCTTGGGTCTAGGTCAAAACTACTCAAGTTTTTAATGAACATTTCTAGCAGTTGAAAAATCCTCCATGATCTTCACGGATGAATTTCATGGAGCATTGGCACGACTCTTGGAAATGTCTGCCTGTTCATTTGCATTGCCACTCTCACTCCCTGTTCTCTTCGCATGTTCCTGGACACATTCATGTAGAATTGAATCTGACTAGCCACACAGCACTGTGATATTACTGCATTCACCCCATGTTCCCTGATTGGGTGGGATCACCCATGTGACTAATCAAGGAATCATTGTGCTGTGATCTCTGTTATCTTCATTTTCACTGAATGACTTTATCATCACACAGCTAAATCAAATCCCTTGTAGACCGTCACACTGTTTGCTTTTCCAGGAAGGAAGGAAGGAAGGAAGGAAGGAAGGAAGGAAGGAAGGAAGGAAGATCAGAATTATCTGCATATTGAAAGTTTGGAATAGTTACTATAAATAAAAGAAAGAGAAGTACAAAAAAGCTACTATCTCAAATGCTGGTCAACAGATTATACTGGTGACTTATGGCTTCTTGTAGTCCATGACTGTACTATAGTGGCAACCTTGGTTTCCCTCACCATGGAGTATACTACTGGAAGAACTCAAGGTACGTTCTGAGCTTGACCCCCCTCCCCACAAATCATAATAGACTAGAAAGGTTGAGTCGCTACCTCCAAGCCTGTGGGGGCCTGTTTCCAACTGTTAACCTTGGTTATGTAAGGCTTAATGTGGATTCCCATCTATGGTCCATGAGCCATTGGATGGATTGAGACTTCTGAAAGAAGGCAACTGGATCCTACTCAAGTGCTCTGGAAACACCTACTCCATGGAGGTGGATTCAACAATGTAGCATATTTCCCCAGCTGGAGGGTGGGGACACGCATCACAGCAAACCTCATAGATCAAGCAGGCGGGACTTGGTTCTGCTGGCTCACCACTGTGGGTTCTGGAAATACTTCCCTGTACAAACTCACACTGACCACTCTCCCAAACACCTTCATTTGTGGTGTTAGGAAGGTCAGGATGTGAGGCATCTACAAACTCATACGCGTAGTTTCCATACAGGATATCCCCTGGCAAACCTTCATTTCCACTATGGTGGCTCATACACACATGATCCCCTGAATCTTCCACTCCACCACTGGGGCTTCTGTAGAGGACAGTCTCTGGGAAGGCTTCTTGTCTACCACTGTGGCTCATACACAGGTTATCTACTGGGGACTCTTCACTATAGTTTCTAGAGAAGCCAACTTCTGACAACTTTTCCCTCTCATCACTTTGGCTTCTATAAATTCCAGGTTGTGAAAAACTTCCAGAGCTGTGACTTCTGGACAGCCTATCTTCAGGGACATCTTCAGCTTCATTGCTTTTGGTTCTAGGAAGATTAGGATGTGACGCAACTGCACATTTATAGCTGTAGTTTCTAGAAAGTGTGCCTTCTGCTAAATGTTCATTTTCTTTGCTGCAGCTTCTAGAAAGACTAGCCTCTGACATGCCTTGGCTTTCTTCACTAGAACGTCTATAAAAGTCAGCTGCTTTAAAGCTCCCACTTTCTCCACTCTGGCTTCTAGAAAGGCTATGTTCCATAGCAGCTTCATTTCTTTTGTGCAGGCAAATAGGAGTTGAGGTATCCACAGGACTTCCACTTTCACCACTCTGACCTCTAGAGATGCTGTCTGCTGTGCCACCTGTACGTCTGGAAAGGCCAGACTCTAAGACAACTTCATTTCCCTCACTCTGGATTGCAGAACGATCATCAGACACAAATCTTCTGCTCGCATCACTACGACTTTCTTTGTTTTCATAGCTGTGGTCTCTTGAAAGGGCACCATGTACAAATTCTCCACTTCTGCTGCTTTGACTTCTGGAAAGGCTGCCTTCCAAGACACCTCTGCTTCCACCACTGTGACTTCTAGAAAGAACACTCTCTGGGACACCTCCGCTTTCAGCACTGTGGGTTCGGGAAACAGATGGTTCTATAGGTCCTCCACCTCCATGGCTGTGAGCTCCAGAAGCTCTGGCTTCTAGTAAGCCTTCATTTTCATAATTCTGACTTCTAGAAAGACCACCTTCACTTGCACCACTGTGAGTTCTGGCACAAACGCTGTCTGCTAAGCTGCTGCTTCTGTTGCTTTGGCTTCTTGAAAGATGACTTTCTGAGAAGCCTTTACTTCCACCAATTTGGTGTCCAGTTGGGCTGCTGGCTAGGTCAACTCTACTTTCCCCACTGTGGTGTTGAGAAAGACCAGACTGTGAAAATTTTTCACTTCTAGGGCTATGGCCTCCTGAAGGATCTCCACCATCTCTAATGGCAGAATTAGTACCACTGGAGGATCGGGAAAGGCTGTGCTCTTGTTTAGCTTGAGCAGAGGATCTACTAAATACAGCATTTGCAAAGCCCCCGCTCTGGCCTCTTTGGCTTCTAGAAAAGCCGCCCTCTGAATTGTTTCTGGCTGACATGCTGCTGCTGCTGTTAGAAATGCCACCCACTGGGACACCGCCATCCTCAGCAGTCCGTGTCCCGGAAAAATAAGGCTGAGCACACCCTTCACTGCCAGGGCTGCCATAACTTTCATCTTTATCACTCTGACTTCCAGAAAGGCTCCCCACTGAGATGTCCCTGCTTGCCCCACTGTGACTTCTAGAAATGCCACCCACTGGGACACCGCCATCCTCAGCACTCCGGGTTCTGGAAAGATTACTCTGAGCATATCCTTCACTGCCACGGCTTCCATGAGTGCCCTGAAAATCATTGCCATCAGTCTGGCTTCTGCAAAGATCACCTTCTACATAGGATGCACTGGTACCACTATAGCTTCTAGAAAGGCCGCTCTCTGAAACACCACTGTGAGTTCTAGAAAAAACACTATCTGTTAAGTCTCCACTTCTGCTGGTTTGGCTTCTAGTAAGATTGCTCTCCAAGACATTCCTGCTTTCAGAAGTGTGATCTCTAGAATGGGTAGTTTTAGGAACACTGTGGCTTTCTCCACTATGAGTTCTGGAAAAACTGGTTGGTGAACGTCCTACACTTCTATAGCTTTGGCTTCTGGAATAGGTGCCCTCTTGGACACCATCACTTGCACCACTGTGTGTTCTAGTAAATACACTGTCAGTCAAACCATCACTTCTGTTGCTTTGAGTTCTGGAAAGGTTATCTTTTGAAATGCCTCTGATTCCACCACTGGGGCTTCCGGAAAGGCTGCCTTCTAGGTTATTCTCTTTCCTGCTGCTTTGTCTTCTGTCACTTCCACTCCCATGGCCATGACTTCCAGAACTGTCTTCATGATCTGCAAAATGTCCACTTCTACTGCTAGAATGCCTAGAAGGACTACTATCTGAACAACCTCTACTTTTATTGCTATGGCTTCTGGTGAAATCTCCACCTGACAGCCCCCTACTGCCAGTGCTCTGATTTCTAGAGAGTCCAGTTTCTGAACTGCTTCTGCTGTGGCTCGTTTTATCTATCAAATCTGCTTTTGCTCTGGTTGTCACATTCGAGGTGGATGTGATGCTGGAATTTGGTGAAGCTGCAAAAGAAAAACAAAGAAGAGGGCTGTATTTTTGAGAAGTTTCTGTTGTATTCTTGGTTTCAGTACCCATCTCTTTCAGCTTAGCTTTCCCCATCAGAGGGATGTTCCACTAAGTATTTGATTCTGAATGGTCTCTTCCACATGCCTATTAGCCTTGCAAGTCCATCTTGCTCCCACTTCTTAGCTCATTTGCTTCTTTAGCAGATTGAAAGCAGGTGGGTAGAAACATAGAAACAGAGTGAGTCAGAAGGGGCCTCCTGGACCATCTAGTCTGACCCCCGGCTCCAGCCGGCTCCGCTCACGACATGCCCACCATGTGCATGTCCAGCCTATCCTTAAGCACCTTCACCACTGGGGCTTCAACCATCTCCTGTGGAAGCCCATTCCATACCCTCGGGGTCACAGAAATCCCAGCTGGTGGGATCTGGGATGCCTTCAGCCAAGGCTTTTATTACACCATCATACTATCTTATTCATGACTTTGTAAAGTCTCTGTAAAGCCTTTCATTGTCCCTCACTCATAACCCTCTTACGTTTTTCCCATCATGTTTGTTTGTTTGTTTGTTTATATTGCAATTTATATCCTGCCTTTTTCCTACAAAGGGCTCAAGGCAGCTTATATCTCCTCCATCATCTTATCCCCACAACAACAACCCTGTGAGGTAGGTTGGGCTGAGAGTCTGTGACTGGCCCAAAGTCACTCAGTTGGCTCCATGGCCGAGCGGGGACTAGAACCCAGATCGTCTGAGCCCCAGTCCCATGCTCTTAACCACTACATCACACTGGCTCTCTCTTCCATCTTATTCCTTACCAGAAGAAAACATTGAGGGGGGAAAAAGATGGAATTGCTTTCTGATTGGTAGCACAAAGAGATGCCCTTCAAAGTTACAAGCATTTCAAAGAATCCATGAAACTAATAAAAATGAACTTACAGAGCCTTTGGGTGGAGTAGATTCTGCTAATAACGGCTGGTGATGGGGACTCCATGCTGTAAGGAAAAGACAAATGAGCAAAGTTCTACAAGATGGAGAGTGAATGCAAGTTGGAGCACCACTCCCAGCTGGTGGGAGCTGAGCCAGTTCTGACTGACCAAAAACAGAGCCTCAGGGTTGTGGTGGACAGCTTGATGAACATGTCCACCCAATGTGTTATTGCTGTGAAAAGGGCAAACTCCCATGTTAGGCATGATGGAAAATACAACTGCTAAGGTAATACTGCCCTTATACAAAATCTTAGAATATAATGTGCAGTTCTAGTCACTTCACCCAAAAAAGATCTTAGAGGGTTGGGAACAGTGCAGCATGGGACACTGAGATGATCAAGGAGCTGGAGCAACTCCCCTGTGAGGAAAGGGTATAACTGCTGTGATTGTTTAGTAAAACAATGATCAAGGGGCGACACGATAGAGGTGTACAGAATTGTACATGGTGTGGAGAAAGTGGGCAGGAAGACTCACTCCTATAATGCTAGAACCAGAACTCATCCCATAAACTGATTGCTGGGAGATTCAGGACTAGCAGAAGGGGGCACATCTTCATACATCACAGCGTTGAACTATGGCATTCACTTCCATGAGGCGCAGTGATGGGCACCAATTGGAACGGCTTGAAAAATGGATTGGACGAGTTCATGGAGAAGAAGGCTTCCACTGGTCCTGAGGGCTCTGTGCAAGCTCCCGGGCAGCATGCCTGTGTGTACCAGTTGCTGGGGAAGATGGGCAGGAGGGTGCAGTTGCGCTCATGTCTTGCTTGAGAGATCCTGTGGGCAACTGGCTAGGCTAGATAGATCTTGGTTTGGCTCAGCGGTTCCTTTCATGTTCTTAGCTTCTTAACATATACAAAGAATATATGGAAGTCATTCCACCTCAAAGTTCTTGGATAACTTTTTTGGGACTGAGCAAATTAGTTTCAGACTTTTCAGTTCACACACACACACACACACACACACACACACACACACACACAGAGGAGGTGGGGGGAGAGGCTGGAAACAAGTTTACTTACCAGCTCTCTTCACCTTCCATCAGCGTCCTGTAGGTGAGAATCTCTAAGTCCAAGGCCAGCTTGATATTCATCAGCTCTTGGTATTCCTTCACCAACTGAGCCAAGTCCTGCCTAGCATTGTGAAGGGCTTCTTCCAATTTAGCTAGTTTGGCTTTGGCATCACTGAGGGCGGTTTCACCTTGTATCCCGGCCTCCTTGATATTATTCTCTAGATGCAGACACTAGAATGGAGCGAGGCCAACACAACACGAGTAAGGGCATGGTTGGAAATCTGTCTGCTACTCTGCAAAGAACTGATTATCTGCTGGTATCACTAAACCTGCAGAACAACCATGTCGGGATGGAATACTCCCAAGTCACGCTGGAAAGCCACAACAGGCATAATTGCCTTTATACCAGTGACACAAAATCAGCCGTGGAAATCAGACAGGAAATCAGCCATGACAAATGTGTTAGCAAAATGAACTAGACAAAACATTCTGACCCTACAGTAACTAATTACACTCATGCTGCTATTTTTTCTTATTTCTCTGTCATAGGAGATAACAGGTTTTGCATTCCCACAGACAGGGGTAGGCAACTTGGAACTCTTTAGATATTCAGGACTACAATTTCCACAATCCATAGCTATTGGCATGCTGGCCAGATCTTCCTTTCTTTCTTAATTAATTCATTTCTTCACCACCCAGCAGCCAAAGCACTCTGGGCTGTTGTCATCCAAAACTCCTGGGTGCCACCAGGTTGTCCACCCTTGTTGTAGCTATTTATGAGGCAGCACCATTGAAGCTACTGGAGACTGAACTGGGGTTGGTCCATATGCAAAGTATGAGCTCTAAGAGAGGATACCTCCAACACGAATGTCACTGACAAGGCACCCCTCTTTTGCCTGCTGTCTTTCACTTGCTGGGCATGACATGGTTAATGTCTGGCTGTTCACACACAGCATGGATTTCATGGCAAATGTTGACTGGCCAAGCACTGCAGCCACATGAGTGCCAGCTCTCTCCTTCACATGGGGATGGATCCAGATTTATGCTAGATCAACAGCCCTGGTGGAAGCGCACCTCCCTGCCCCCTCTTCCTTCCCACAGCAGCCCTTTCGGTCCCTTGAAAATGCAGCACAGATTCTGGGGCACCACTCAGTGGGACTGCGGAGGGGAAGGAGATCCTCCAGAATCAAGCTCTGGAGGAGGACAGAGCACGGATCCACCCAACACTGTTCATGCAGTCAAACACTGACAGTTCCCTCAGAACGCTGAGTAACATTCTGGGAAGGAGCAAAAGGCATGGGCTTTTCTCTGTGTTGGGATGGTGGCAGAAGATCTTTGTGAAATCATGATTCGGCATCTTTTTGGACTTTTCCTCCAGCTCAGCCTGCAGGCTTCCACCAGCCACATCTTACCTGGCTTTTCAAAGACACGATGCAGGACCTCATCTTCTGGATCTGGATGTTTAACTCAGCAATCACCCTTCGATCATTAAGGAGATGGTCCCCAAACCTAGCAGAGAGCACCTCTCTTTCATTCAGCTAGAAGGAGGAATTAGGAGTATAGATTACATTTCTGACAACAAACCTGAGGAGGTGGTGTGGCACAGTGGTCAGAGTGTGGTGGACTGGGGACCTGGGAGACCCTGGTTCTAGTCCCCACTCAGCCATGAAGCTCCCTGGATGACTTTAGGTCAGTTGCTGAGTCAGCCCAATCTACCTCACAGGGTTGTTGTGAAGATAAAATGGAGAGGAGGACAATGCAAGCTGCCTTGGTTTCCTCCCAAGGAAAATGGCAGGATAGAAATGGAACTGATAATTAATCAAAGAAATTCATGGGAAATCCAGGAGTGCAAGCCCCTAAAGCAGACCTAGTTTTAACAAAAACTGCACCTGTAATTGTATTCATAAACACATGTTTCAATGCAAAGCCTTCTTACTCTCCAAGAACTCTTGAGCCCTAGGGCTTAATACCCTGGCACCATATAGGATTAGATTTGTGACAAAATGGCATCATCAAATCCTTCCCTACAAAACGTTAATCCCTTTTCTGCTTATACATCTCTTTCCCCATTAACCTTCCACCCATCTTCCTTTCTCTCTTGTCACTTTAACCTGTCTGGATTTATATTGACTTCTGCAAATTTACTATGCTTTTGGCATTGTGAGAGATGAAAACACACAATGAACCGCATCTGATCCAACCCGACCTTTCAGTTCTTTGCAGTAGTTGCTCATGTCATCCATCTACCTCTCGCTGGCTGTGCGGCCCTATTGGCAGAGCTAAGTGGCTGCAATGTTTCCACCTTGCCTCCTTTCCCATTACACCTGTCCTATAGCAGAAAACACCCTATTCTGGTAGCAATGACTTTAGCAAAATATCTCATTGATTTAAACCTTGGAGTATATTCTCACAAATGTTTTTCCCCAAGTGCTGAAGCCAGTGCAACCTGATTTTAAATATCTGAAACCCTATACCCACTCATCTGGACACAAGCCCCAGCAAACTAAATGGGCCTTACTACAGAGTAGACACGCCCAGGATTGTATTGTTGAATTTTTAGATTCCCAGGTCCGAGGTCAGAAAAGAGCTCTGACCTCGGATCTGGGAATTCACACTTGGATTTTCTCCCTTACTCACAGCCAAAACAATTCTCTCAAAATAAACCTTTTTAAATGAGTTTTTAAAAATATGTATATTAAGAAATGCTATGGGAACTGCATCAGAACATTCCAGAAGCATGGAAGCTGGTGGATAGCTATGTTTTGATCCACATGCAAGCATAGGAGGAGCAAATAAGCTAAGACTATAAGTGACAAAGATCCTTTTTGACAAATAGGACAATGTCATGCAATATATTTGGGGATGGGAGAAGCAGAGATGTTTAACCTTGCTGAAATTATCTGTACTTTGCTTCAGATTTGGTTCAACTCACTCCTGTTGCACCTGCTTTTCTAGTTTGTTCATTTTGTGTGCATTTTTGTGTGCAAAAGTATGTATTTTTCAAAATGCAGACCTTCCCCTGTAAACGGAAGTGTGGAAATAAGTATTGTAAAAGCATGCCTTTAGAGAAAAAAGCACAAACAAATTTGAAACATACAAGCTACTCTGCAAACTGCATATTTCTGAAACCATGCATGTTTGCACTACAGGTTGCAATTTCCGATGGATTTGTAAAGAGAAAATGACATTCTCATACGTGCCCAGGCATTTCCAGCCCTGCACCTTTTCTGTGTCTTTCCATTAGGACTGATGCTGATGTGCAGGGCTTTGGGACAGTTCTTGGCAGCAAAAGGCTTCATACCTTGGTTCGGGTGAGTGCCTCTAACTCTTCCCAACTCCGGATCGCCAGGGCTTCGTACTGAGCTCTCACTTCTTCCACGATCTTGTGTGGGTCTGGGTTGTATCTGTTGTTGTCAATCCCGAGCACAACTGAGACGTCCTTGATTTGTGACATTGCTTCCTCAAGTTCCTTGGTGAGCAGGAAGAAGACGGGACTGAGTTTTTGTGCATAAAGTAGGGTTACGGTAACTGGAGTTTGCAGGGGAGGCCTGGAAGCTCAGCTGGGCTTGAATATAGGAACAGGCGCATTCCCTGTATCCTTATGAGATTTCACATGGTTCCAGAGGTTGCCTCTGGAACCCTCACAGTGGTCCTGTAAAACAGGGTCAAGGGAAACCCTCCCCTGATCGTGGGCGACAGCATGGTTCCTCTGCACTGGAGGGAAAGCTGTGCTGCAATCACACTCAGGGGAGGAGTGGATCGGCCTTCGCGGAGGCTGACTTGAACGAAGGCCACAGAGGCAGTAACGCCGCAGACACCCTCCCCTGTGAGTGGCCGCCTTCGGCTCGCAGAAACCGTTCCTCAGTGAAGTACCATACAGTGCAGAGGCACACGCTGACCCACCAGGCTGGCATTCTGCTGCCTTCTGTGCCTGCCCGGCCCACGCGGAGGGGTGTATGCACTGAGTAGTCCCACCTGGATCATCACACACGATGGTTAGCCCCACCCGCCGGCATCTGCCTGCATGGCACAAACATCTGCCCGGAGGCAGCCTTTGCCTGTGCAGCTGCATGGCACCATGCAAGGAGTGTTGGCGATGAATTCCATTGTCCAGCTGTGTGAAAAACATTTCTTTTTCATGGTCCAGAAAGTTCCACAATTCTCAGTCACAATTCCCCTTCACTGGACAAATCTGGGTTTCAGAATGTTCAGTAAGGAAGAAAAACTTTCTGTTCACTTTTTCCATGCCATTATTTTTTTTATAAACCTCTGTCCTGCTTACACTTATAGCCCACTTTTTCTAAATGCAGAATCCCCCAAAGTTGCAGCCCTTCCTCCTAGGGAAGTTGGTTCAAGTCACTTTTCCCAGGGCAATGCTACACAGCCTCATTGGCTGCCCCAGTAATGGGAACTAAGGCTCCCAAGACTTCTAGCAAAAATGGATGCTGCTGTACATGCCCATGGAAGCATCTAGGTGTCCATCTCAAGGACTATCCTTGCAGCGGGCGCTTTCTGCTGCCTCACCTGGAGGCATGTGGGAAAGGGAGGAAACGGCACAAAGGGCTTGTGGCCAGTGGCAAAGCAAGACAGTTTTCAATTGAGCAGTACTTTGGAAAGGTCTGGGCCAGCTTTGAAAAGAGATGGGGGTGTGGAAGAATATTGGACCCACAAAATATTACTTCCATCCACCCACTTTCCATAATTCTATTCTGAAGAAGAGGTAAGTCAGAAGAAGCTGCACTATTTCTTCTGTACGCAAAGAACAGATGAAAAACATGCAAAGTGCCAAAGGAAAAAATGCCAGGCACCTTGCTGAAGTAGGGATGGGGTGGGAGAGTGTGGAGATAATGATGCCAAACACAAAATTGAAAAGCTGCCAATTTACAAGCGGGCACATTCTTACACCAACAGAAGTTAGTCCTGTTAAAGCCACTCCACCCACCCCTGATCTCACTTCTGATAGCTGAGGCTCAGCAGACAAAAGTACAGGCACACTCCCCTCATGCAGCTCAAGACACTCACTGGGATGGAAGACAGGACCTGTCCCCGGAAGACCCTCTTCCCTTCAATGCCCTGATGATCATTCCCACATGAATGCACCTCTACTTGATGCGTTCAGGGGCCTGTTTTTTGGGGGAAGGAGGGAGCAGAGAGGGGCTCCCATTTTGCAGACAGCAACCATGAGGGCATTGGACACCCCAAAGCCTCTGAGCACACAGGCTTCCCTCTAGTCGGCAGCAATGCAATAGGATGGCACCCCAAAGAGCTAAACATCTGTATTAAAAAGTGGGGAAGAAAAAAATCCTTAGGATACTGACATCTGGATGGTGCAATGGTGAAAAAATGGCATGCATGCAGGCCTGAGCTCTTGGGAAGGGGTAGCGGCTACTGTTGGTGTTATTTACTTAGCAGTCCTGGTGTTTCATTCTCGACATCAAACTTGGAGTATGTGCATGTTGGAAATGCTTACACACCGCATTGGCTATCTGCAGCTCTGCTTATGCCAAAGCATTAAATTTCACTGATCCTCTGCCAAAGCATGTTGATTTGCCTGGGGGCAAAGAATCTTATGAACTGGGAAGTGGTCTATTTTTTTAAAAGCAGAATTACACAGGAATAAGGCATGCCTAGAGCCTAAGATCCATGGGAAGATAAGAAGCTATGAAAAATAACTGATATCTCACAGCTTCCAAACTGAATCCATATTTAATCATATTCAGGCACACTGAAATCCATGGGAGGTTCAGTTTGTCACAACTAAGTCTCAGTGATTTCGATGGGTTTACTCTACTGTTACCAGCAGAGGCGCACAGCTCCAAAGATGGCAGGGCCGTGTAACCACTCCAGGATTTAGTTTGAACTTTGAAGAGCCACTCACTGTGCTGAGCCCCAAGCAGGTTCAGCACCGTGGCCAGCTCCATAAGAATTCAGAGTAAAAACCAGAGAGGTTACACAGCCCCGCTGACACTGGTGTCAGTAGCCTCTACTGGTTAACTCTGGATTCAGCCACTAGGTATCACCCAGTGGAGCACAGTTGACTCTTCATTCTGAATAACACGTCTCAGCCACATCAAGAACTGAATGGAAGGAGAGCGAGCCACACAACTGCTCTGTCAAGAGCTGCAACTCCTTTTGGGGAGCACAGGGCCTGAAATGGGAGCAAAGAAGTCTGCACACCTTTCCCATCAGAAAACCCAGCAGTGCTTCAAGGACTTGCCACATGCCAGCAGCTCCTTGCTTCCTCAATTAGATGCTGGACTCTCAATTGCCTAGATGTGAGCTTGCATGCCAAGGTAGGGCAGGGCTAGAGAGCTATTCCTGACCCAGGTAAGAAAAAAAGTGGACAAGGAGGGGCGATTCCAGAAAGGCTTAATTTAAGGAGCAGGTCTTGAACTGGGCCTCCAAGTAGCAGGACAGAAGTGGCTCGACAAACAGAAGAGCAGCCTCGACAGAGTGGACATCCCAAAGCAAATATCCAAAGAAATGTCAAGGCTGGGCACATCGCCACAATTGGCAAGGATTGTGATGCTAGATGGTGCCAACCAGCCAATGATTCAAGTCGCCCAATTCTTGAGGAAAGCATATTCTGAATGCCTAAGGAAAGGTTACAGTCTTATTATGGATCTAAAGCAAACATGATAAGGGGCTGGAGTGAGTGCCAGGGAATTCCTTCCTGAGGATAATTGTGTCTTGAAGCACAAGGGCTGTAATTGCATCTTGGTTATAATTTAAGGGTTCCCATGACAGGGATGGGTTGGGGATTCTGCTGCACAACTCATGGCATAGCTTAGTAGTTAATGCTCTTTACAAGTCCTTAAAGCATAGCAATGTCCTGTACACATTTTAACAAACATTAAAAGAAGAGTCTTTAAAAATGAATCTTTAAAAATATCAGTCCTATTATGTACAGGTACACTGGTAGGCCCTGCTCAGTTTTGAAGACAGCAGGCTGGTCTGAAAAGGTTGGTCTTGCTTGTCAAGGATGTTGTAATGGGATCAGCCCAGGTGATCCTTGGCTTTCTGAAAAATAACCATGCCTCAGACAGTATGACTGGAAGATGGAATAGTACCGCTCCCACCCATTATAATAAAGCACTTGGTGCTCAATCAGTTTGCAAAAGGAGCTGTGGCCCACAAGTGCCCACAATGTACAAGGCATTGCAGGTTACTGCTGGGCATGTGACAATCAGCACAGAAAAACTACTGGCTGACTCCATGTGAGCTCCAAAAAGTATGCTCCACTTGGTGAACGTGTGAAGGTTTCTGTTGCATTTCCAAACATATGGCTAGTCACAATCGAATTAAATAATTCCAATCCTTTCCTCCTAAGCTGGACCATTCTTACTACCACTCTGGTTATCTTCTGGGAGCAAGAAGGATGATGGTTTTGGGCAATCGTTCCTACAGAATGCTGGCTGCCTCCTAGATGATTTGGAAATGGAATGGGAAACAAATTACACTGGGATTGTGGAGGATGGGCTAGGTCAAGATTCTGAGATGAAGGAGGCAAAGGTGATTACAGGCGCTTTGTACATCTCACAGTCCAAGCCAGGCAGCCTCTGGAAACAACCAAGATGTACAGCCAGTGGGAGAGGTTTCTGAGGCTAAGGAATTCTCAGATGCAGGCTACCCCCCACCCCCAGTCTCAACCCCATAGAGAGGAGGCAAAAGAGGCAGGAGGCCCGAGTGACTGAGCAGCAGAGGAGGCCTGCTTGCCTTCAGAAAGTCCCTCCTGGGGGAAGGGGGCCTGGCATGCTCATGAGGACAGTTTGTGAAGGTGAACACTAGACTGGCCCAGTCCCTTGCGTCTACTCATACAGATGGATCGTGAGTCAGTGCAGGCAGCGTGCTCAGGCACCTTGAGGCCTGCATAGAAAACTACGTACCTGTAATGACCACTGAAAGACCTGCTCTTTTCCTTCTGTTCCCTTTTTCAATTAGACAAGCTCTATAGGGGAACTTCCATTAGATGATTTATGCACACGTCAGCAGAACTGAACGTTGGACAGTTAGACTGATGAGAATCCTCCCACCCCACAGCCCACCTTGTTGCTGTTGTCATTTACCTCCTCTTGGATATTTTTCATTAACTCCACCCAAGCCTGAAGTCCGCTCAGTTTTGCTTCCAGTTCAGTTTTGTGCAAGAAGCAGTTGTCCAGATCCTGTGTGGTAAAGCAAGGAAAGAAGACAGTCACTTGAGTGGCAGCCATGTGCTACTTGCAATCTGAAAGTGGCTTGACAATTTTTGATCTTGTAGTGGGGGAACTCTCTGCCAACCAAAGGCCACCGTGGCTGATGCAAGAGCAAGGAAAGTGCAGATGAGCAAGAAGTATGTGTGCAGGGCGAAGGTGTGCCCTGCTCCCGGGAGTGCAAAGCCCTGTGTGGGTCCTGTGTGCACTGAAAGGATCCCGGGACATGTTCTAAGATAGCTGCTCAGCTCTTCTGGATGTCACTGCTGCCATCCTTGAGCTGAGAGTGTGCCCAGAGCCCCTGCCCCCCCCCCCCCCAGCGGTTGCACAAAGCCCCAATTCCCTTATGGATGCTTGCCGTCATTGCATAACTTCCCCCTGAGAAACGGATCCTCAGGATTCCCCAGAAACCAAATCAAAAGATTTAATTTAGGGAGTAAAGGAATGCCATTGCAGTTTGGGCTTAGGATGTACATCTCACGGTCCCTCCATTCCCCACAGTAAGCAGAGCAGCACAGTAGTTGGAGTCCTGGGCTGGAGACCTGGGAGGTCTGGGCTCTAGTCCCCACTCAGCCATGAACTTTGGGCAGTCATTCATTCTCAGCATAATCTACTTCACAGCGTTGTCGTTGTGAGGTCAAAATGGCATGGAGGAAGACTGCGTAAGCTGCCGGGTTCCTCGTAGCAGGAAGAAAGTCAGGATAAAAATATAATGTAATGCAATAATATTAAGACTTTAATTGTGCCAGAAATTAGGTGGAGTGCAGATGGAAGGAAATTAGGCTGGTCTACAGAGTCATCTTTTAATTACTAGAAAAAACAGGGACTGTTGAATAGCATCAGGTCGGTAAACAGAAAAGCACTTCCATTGAGGTTTCAATAGGGGATGAACACACTCAAAAGGAATTTACAATTCATAAGAGCAGCCTGTCATCAGGACAAATTCTGACGCCCAGCTTGTCCCGTTCTCAAAGGTCCCCACAGCAATCACCTTCGAGTAACATCCAAGCCACTCCACTCCACAGGTGGGGTGAGGAAACTCAGCTGTGGCGCTGCCACAAGAGTGTCATTATAGTTTAAGAACAGGAAAGGCTGGAAAATTCTCTTAGCACACAAAACACTGAGTTAATCTTGAGGAGGTTGTTTATAATTATAGAGGCTAGGCCCAGGCATTGCAGACGGCTGTCAGAGTTCGCTTTCTTTTTAAAATCTCCTTTTCAGGAGAACAATTAAAATAAAGGCCTGGGGCCAGTACTTCTAGGACACACGGCTGCTGCAGCTGCAGCCGGTCAGTAGCCTCCCTTGTCCCGACTTCCCAGCAACATCCAGGCATATCAGGGCTGCTGTGAGGACCTGTCATAATAATTCCAGATTTCACTCATCCTGCAAGTGGCAGCGGGGAAGCTGATGGGGATGCAAGCCACAGTTTTAAATGTAGACTTAAAAAACAAAACTAAAATGTCAGATTTTGGAAATGCGGTTCTTTTTCAGCTATTATTTAGGGAGCACCTTGCACCATAGACTCCTGCCCATTGCTTGAGATCATCAACTGAGGCCCTCCCACGAGTCTCTCTCCCCAAGGGGAGGCTGTAAGGAGGAGGGCCTTTTCTGTGGTGGCACCCCAATTATGGAATGCTCGACCTTCTGAGATTCGCCAGGTGCCTACTCTGTTGAATTTCAGGCACCTAACAAAAACCTTCCTTTTCAGCACACCTATGGCACGGCTTAGACCCCCTCAGACCAATTGCACTGCTTTGAATCTATTATTCATGTTTTTATTTAATTATGTATATTGTGATTTATCTCGTTCCAATTTATTATGATATTTTAACTGTATTTTTATCTAATGTTATTTTATTCTTTTTTAATTGTAATGGCTGTCCAGAGAGCATGATGCCCATGGCTGGCTCTTTAACAAATTTAATAAACAAATAAATCTGCCTCAGTCTTTGTGTCAGGAAAGTTTTACAGTGCAGTCATTGTCATTCTAAAACTTCAGGTCAGGTCTGGCATGTGCAATTAAAATCAATACAGACATTTGACTCCTGTTTTAGTTAACACCTGTTCCTGTATTTATAAAAGAATGTTTTGTTTGGCCATTGTTGGATTTCTAAGTGGGATGGGATGCCATCCCACCTCATTCTAGGGGAACATGATTAAAGACTACTCCACCTGTGGCATTTACTCTGTAAGCTCTACGTCTTCTTCCATTAACACCAAGGGGAGAAATTCGTATCTTTTTCATGTGTTCTCTTCCCTGCAGCCCTGGGCTAAATTCTTCTGCCTTACTCTATGTTTTATTAAACAACCACAAGGTCCTGCTGCAGTATAGTGCAATTGCCGTGAAACAGAGCCCTTTTCTAGTGCTACCTGCAGTCCTAGGAGACAACCTGGTACTTGCTTCATTCTAAGAGGAGCATGGCTAGTACACATGGGAGAAGCTCTGAAGGAAAGACCTGCAAACTTCTCTGTGTGAGGGACCACAAGCTCACAATAAATGCCAGCATCTGGCCTGGCCATCTCACTTGCTCCTTTTCCCCCCACCAGAGGTACTCTTCATCCAGTGCGGCAGTTTGACCAAGCTGTAATTTGAAGGTCACCTGTGATATACGACAGCAGAGGCACCCCATTTTTTGGGCCCCAGGGGCTGCTTGGGGTGTCTGTTAAGTTGACAGAGTCTGCACACCTGCACACACACACACCCCTCTATTCTTTCAGAGATACATCACATGCATCTTTCACCCCTCCAGCGATCCTTCACTCCCCAGCAATCACAGATGTCCCATCCAGCAAAAAATTGGAAATACACTCCAGGAACAGGCATTGTACAAGCTCATTCTTAGAACATCCTCAGAGCATGTCTGGGAAGGAGATGGAAACCACTGCATTTGTTCCTAGAGCTTTTTCCAAGTTGAGGTCGGGGTGGTGAAAGATGCTGGTGGTCTGGGGGCTTGGGTCAAAAGGTGGCTCACATTTCACACCCCTACATTTCATCAAAGAAGTTGTCCACATGAAAAAGCTTATTGAAAAAGCCTTAAATAAGCCTCTCAAATTCATGTGTTTAACCAGCTCTGCAGGTGAGTCATCCACCAAGGCAAGTGAACACAATTATCCCCCCACATAGGAGTGTGCGCCTACCTTTTTGAGTGCTGTGAAGGTGAATTCCATCCCAGTGCGTTTGTTTATTTCTTCCTCGTATCTAAGGGAAAACAGGGATGAGTGATAGGAATGAAATGGTGGGAGGTATCATTTAAACACCGTATGGAATTTAGATTATCTGGATCTGTTTCCTTTATCTGTTCAGGAAGTAAAACCGGAATTGCACACACACATAGACACCCACATGGGACAGACAAAAGGCCGCACCTGTACCAAGTACTCATTATCATAGTTCTTGGAAGCATCAGCTTAGAGTCCCATTGTGCGGCATGCTCCACAGATATGCAGCAATGGGAAACCATCCCTGCTCAAAGAAAAGAATCCTCAGAGCAGCTGCACAATGCATGGGAGGATAAATAATAATATTAATAGAAATAATAGCAAGAGAGATGACGACTCCAGGTAAGACCAGAAGAGCTGGAAACAAAACCTCAGTTAGAGTGGTGTTGACTCACTTAACTACAGTGCCTCAAAGAGGCAAAGGAGTGTCCTTCCAGTGCTCTGCCCAGTTTCCATCTTACAAAGCCCAGTTCAAAACATTTGTGGCAGGGTGGTCACAGTTCCTCTGGTCATCTCCCACACCCCTGCGGCTACCCCAAAGCTCTAGATATCATCACACCATCCACCACAGTCTATTTCAGGTTTGCTACGGCTGATGGGACCATCTAAACGAGCTTCATCCAATTCAAGCAGCCCTCATGGTGAAGAACTGACAACACTACCAACGTGATGTGGGAACCCCCTGCAGGATGTCCTTCACATGTTGCTACCTGCTGTCCAAGAATCTCCTTCCATGGGGTCTCCTGATGTTGATGCAAAACACACCAATGAGTAATAGACAGAGTGTTGAACTTTAAATGCTCTTGTGTCAACTTGGGAGCAGTTCCATCTATGCCATTCAGAGAAGAATGGACGGATCTGTCTATATCCAGTTCATGTCACTTTTCTGCAAGCAACAAAACATCTTGTGGCACTTTAAAAACATACAATCCACCTCCATAAATGATTATGCCACAAATGATCAGGTGCCGCAAGACTTTTGGCCATTTTCCTGCTACCCCTCTGGGAAATGTTACTTTTCCAGATGCTGGTTCCTTCAACCATTATATTCTATTTCTTCCTTGGCATGTGGTTTTATTCTGCTCTATAATCTACATGAAAATTATATTTAATTATATTTAATATCTTACAAAATGTTAATTTCTAAGCATATGTATGCCTCTCATTTTAGAATATTTCTAGAGTGGAGAACTACACCAACATTCAGAGATGTGCAAAATTCAGTGAACAGCTGTGTTTTTATCCTCACATTAGTTTGGCAGGTGCAAATCAGGTCAGTACATATTTGAATGTGCAAAGACAAAGTTCCTCAAGCATTCCTATGCCTAAATAACATTTGAATTAGGCTCTGCTGATTGCTCAAGAAAGGCAGTTTTCTCTTCCAATGGGAGATCTAAGGAAACACTTTCTTCTGTGGCCTTCCAGGTCTGAGTAACTAACCACTAGATTTATCTACTGGCAAGTGTTGCGAGCCATGAAATCAGACAGGAGCCATGCTTCAAAAAATAGCTATGGTCAACTCATTGGGTCTGCTTTTCTGCTATTTAAATCACTGCTCCCCAACACAGGTATGGGTGGTCTTCCTAGCAGAGATCCTCCCCAGCCCTTCCAGTTCCCTAAGTCCTGTACCCCATTTTCATGTTATACACACAAACTGCTTATGTGTACTGGAATGGGAGCCAACTGTCACTTTGCATTGTCCCTAAGGAAATACTAAAACAGCCATTCCAAGGTGCTTGAGCCCTAGCTTCATTTGCATCTATTCAGCTTATGAGATACCTTGCAAAGATATGACAAAATCTATCAAACAGTGCCAGCAATTCCAAGGCTAAAAGAACCAGGTGGAAGGGTGGAGTCCCACCACATACCAGCATCCTCACTGTAGGTGGCTTATACAGGTTTAATAAGCTGCTAAAGATGGGAGTGAGGCTGCGAGGTTTTGCTATGCCAACAGCCTGAAGTCATAAAACTCTTTCCTGCCTATAGGAAGCAATAGGGCGTGGCCTTGGGTGGCATTCAGGCCCCCCAGGTGCCCTTTGGGGCAAGCTTTCAATACAACAGATGACATTGCCAAACAGTGCCTTCTTAAGAGTGCATTCTCCTCCCTCATCACAGAGAAAAAGGATGCCTCTGCTGAATTCAGGTGAGAGGGATGCTACATCATACCTGTAGATGTGATTTTTGTGACAATACATGGCTGTCATTTATACAAGCCTTTGCAATATGGCCCTGCTACATTCTGCTCCTCTCTCCTCCCTGCAATTCTGCTCGATGAGCTCAAGTTTCTGGGCAGAACCAGGAAACGCCTTTCGTTCTCTCCCAGAGTGTCATGGGATTGCAAGCAGAATCCTTTAACAGCACAGCCAGTGTAACCTTAGACTGAGCCAGACCCCTTGGTCCATCTAGCCCAGTATTGTCAGCAATGGCTCTCTGGGGTTTCAGGTGGAAATCCACCCCCACCCCCACACACACACCTGGGGATGCTGAGATTCCAGTCTGGGACCTCTGCCAGGCATGGCAGCTGCTCTGATGCGTATCTGTTGCACTTGACCTTGCTTAGCCAGTCAGTTTGCTGGGGCTCACTCCCAGGTAGGGGTGTGATGAAGCCAGGGCTCACAGAAGGGCAGCACCAGCGCTTTTTGCTTAGCACAAGTGCTGACCTCAACTGCCGGTCCTCCCAGCCCCCGTCCCACGGAATTCCCCATTCCCTCAGAGCTTAGCTACAATGTTGGCATAGGCGTGCCGGAAAATTTTCCCCAGCAGAAGCAGCTGCAGGAGAGCTTGTGGAGAGCGATCACTGTGTGAATCCAAAGCATTTGGGGTGGCTTGGTCTTGAATGGGCAATGCTTTCCAGAAGAAGCCCCTAGAACTGATTTCTTGGTCCAGATCAGTGCAGTTCCCTGCATTTTGGGACTCTCCTTGGGGACATGGCTAGGAGGGCTGTCAGGATGATGCCTCCACATGCAAAGTGACCACCACTCCACTGCTCCTAGGTAAATGAGCGCAGCCGAAATTACCATAGCAGCTTGGTTTCAATTAGCACCACCTGTCTCTTCCACGTACAGGGCTTTGCAATAGGGTTGCCAGGCTGCAGCCTGGGGAACTCATGTTTACCCTGACAGGTGCTGTGCTCACAACTGCCCATTTGCTCACTCCCCAGTTGTTCTCCCCACACTTGCCGCAGCGCAAGCCAGATTCCAGGCCGTGCCCCATTCGAGGGAGGCGTTCTGGCGGGAAGAGGCACACGTAGCTGTGGCTGCCTTATCTCCCGGTGGTGGCCTGAAAGGTGAACCCTCATTTCCTGGGAGTGAGCAGAACAGGAGCCCTGCTGGGCTGGAACAAAGGCCTTTTGATCCAGCCTCCTGTTGCCAGGATAAGGTGATCCCCCAGCGGGAAGGCCACAAGCAGAGCAGGAGCAGAACAACCAGTGCTGAAAGACACGCTGCCTCTGATCCTGGGGGCCAAATACCGCCATCTCATGCAGTAGCCTCATGCTCTGCGGACATGTCTAATCTCCTTTGGGAACCATTCACTTTGCCCTACCCAACAGAAAACAGAGGTTTCTACAGAAACAGAGGATGCTGCCTTACGCCAAGTCACAGCATCCATCCATCCATTTATCCATCCGACCAGCCAGCTCAGGATTGTCAACTATGCTGACCCAGAGTAGCTCTCCAGAGTTTCAGAATGGCGTCTTTCTCTGGTTGGGCCATATAAGAACATCACCCCATGTGCACACTTCCCATTCACATTGCCAAACCTGAACACAGGCAGAAGCATAATTTTCAGGCTATTTCACCATTTCCAAAATTCATGTTCCTGTTTGAAAGTGTGCACTTCCAAAAATCAGCATCCAAAGCATTATTGGGAATTTACTGAAACAACCCTCTTTCAAATAGTGATGGTGGAGAAAGGGCACACTTCCAAAAATGTACCTTCTACCCCTCACCCCCTGCTGCATCTTCATGCTTTAGATTATGGGCGGGGGAGGGAGTGTGACTTTGCAGTGTCTGTTGGGAAAGCTGTGCATTTGCTGTGTTCGAAAATGCGCAGTTTTCCTGTTAAAAAAAGCAAATATGTTCACATTGGGGAACAAGAACTAGGCAAGGAGCATGACGGTAGAAAATGAGGCACCTCGACAAACTCAGCATTGTTCATTCTCCCATTCCTAGTCAGAGCCCTCCCCAGAGGTGGTGGGGCCTGAACCTACATCCTTCCACATGCAAAGCATGTACTCTGTGCCTGCTCCTAGTCCTTCCACGCTTTCAACTAGCCTCACTTTTTCACTCACTTCTTACAGGACACCTACATGACCTCATTCTCCATCTATGTTTTATTCATGCTTCTTCTTGCCCTTTTCCAGACTAGGGAAAAGCTCACATTTTCTTGGCAGGAGAATGGAACAGCATTTTTGCAAGTGCACAGTACCTTAGCATTGTTGTTGTTAGTCGCAAAGTTGCGCCCAACCCATTGCGACCCCATGGACAACATCCTCCAGGCTCTCCTGTCCTCTACCACCCCTCGGAGTCCACCCAAGCTCACACCCACTGCCTCAGGAACTCCATCCAGCCACCTCATCTTCGGCTGCCCCCTTCTCCTTTTGCTGTCAGTTGTTCCCGGCATCAGGGTACCTTAGCATTACTCTTGTCATTTCTATGGATATGATCGGGGAAGCACCAGGCAGGGGAGCTCATCTGCATGCCTCCGCACCCCTGAATACCTTCATTGTGGCATCACAGGGGTTCTGTGTCAGAGTCAGGCGGAACAATGGATGGCTCCACCCAGTTTCAGATCTGGAACAAGACCCCTGGAGGGGGCGCAGCGAGGGGTACGGATGAACACAGAAATGCAGCCAGCAGAAGATACTGTTATGCTGTTGGGACATGGCCAATCACCAACCTGGCCTGATAAATCCAGAGGCTACATACCACCTGTCCGATGCAGCATTACAACCCCTTTTGTACTTAAAGAGGGTTCTGA